GTACCAGAAATTTTGGTAATCTGTACAATAATTCTGGTAATACCTGCTATCTATTTTTCTCCGTGTATACACTCAATACTGCTTACGAATAATGCCTTTTGCTATTCAAATGACAAATCACATTGTTATGGTCGCCAAAGAATATTTCTCACAGAATTTTGACCACCCCAGCCTCATGACGATAATGGGCGTGTACACCTTAGTAAAACTTTTAACTCAAACCATGTTTATAATGATCCTTTCATACATAAATAATGATTGATGACATAATTCGGTCGAAAATTTTACTGGAATGTTCAATTTTTGGACATAAATAATAGTACTATCTGAAAACGGACCCTCTTATGACGTAGAAACCTCATCTCGCTATAGTTAAAAGAAAATACCAAACGCCGGACGGAGACTGAGGCAACTGATATATTAATTCTTTCAACTGTGATCTCGCGCTAATTCACTCTGCCAGAAATCATGTATCATTCATCTCTGTCTGGAATAGTCCTGTTTCAGTATTAGGGTTTTGACGTCACATCATCGCCTCGTTTTCAGAGGTCCGAAAAATCGGGGATTTCAATAATTTTTCATAAAACGTAGGGAGCTCACAGCGATAAACGGTTTGCGGTGGTGAGCTAGTTTGGGTGAGTTCTATCGAATTATAGAATAAATTTTTTTTGTGATATAAGCCCATTCATCCGATGACGCTGATGACACAGACGATAAATTAATTGAAGCCACCGCGACTGCTAGCATCGCCATCAACAAATCAACCGGATCAGCACCGGAAAGAGATTCAAGGAGCCGTGAAATCGGTGGTTGTTGGTTCGTAGCCACAGCTACAGCTTTCCTGCAACTGATTGGGGATTCCTCGCCCACTTACAAGGCATACGTCCGGGCCACGTGACCGGCCAGATCTGGAAAACGGGGTCACCGAAAGGGCCAAAGGATGTGAACATTTTTGTGATGATAAATCAACTTCTAAACGAAAAACTACGACGCGTCTGCACTACCATCCTCACATCACGAACATTTGCCTAATTTACAGTTGCAACTGTAAATTAGCACTAATTTGCAGTTGGAACTGTGAATTAGGCAGAAGAAACTTTTTTTTAAATATCGCTCAATTCACAGTTGCAACTGTGAATTAGACAGAGAAAACTTTTTTCAAAACACCTCCTAATTTACAGTTGCAACTGTAAATTAGCCCTAATTCACAGTTGCAACTGTAAATTAGGATATATTTCGAAAAAAAAAAGTTTCTTTTGCCAAATAAATAGGTGTACGGCGCGTCCGAACTGCTATCCTAAAAAAATCTTATTTTTTCACGAACATTTGCCTAATTTTACAGTTGCAACTGTAAATTAGCACTAATTTACAGTTGGAACTGTAAATTAGGCAGAAGAAACTTCTTTTAAATATCGCATAATTTACAGTTGCAACTGTTAATTACTTTGAATTAGGCAGAGAAGACTTTTTTTTAAAACACCTCTCAATTTACAGTTGCAACTGTAAATTAGCATTAATTTTCAGTTGCAATTGTAAATTAGCCCTTATTCACAATTGCAACTGTAAATTAGGAGATATTTTGAAAAAAAAAAGTTTGAACTGGCAATTAGCCATAATCATTAAGGAATACGATATTGAAAAGAGCTGTCTTTTTATTCAGAATCAAATGGTAGTCTATTATTTTCAAAATGTAAATTGAAACCCCCTATAGCAGAAAACCTGTCCATTTTTTAGTATAGTCACCCTATGATTCTTTGATCAGAATCATATGGATTACTTCATTTAAGAAAATCAGAAAACTCCACCGAATTTTTTGTCATCTGCATCCCCTATTTGGTAGGGGGTAATAATGAAAAAATGTGGTTTTCATAATTATCCATGATGAAACATTTCCTATCACTTTTGTCAGGTGGAATTCCTTTTTTTTTCGGTTCTCAAAATAGGGGTTGGGGGAAATAATTCCTCCCATTATATTTCTTTATGAAGAATCTATTTTCAGAAGTAATTAACTCTTTCAGGTCCAGGAATTTTGAAATATAACGCCCACTAGATGTACAGCTTTATTTTTCTTCAGATATTCCAATGATTCATTAACAAACTAACTCCAAATGTCTCATTGAATACGAACAAATATAAAATGATTTCAGAATTCTCCAATTTTTACAAAAAAAACGGTGGGTCAAAATCTGACCCACCATTCCATAAGGTGAAAGATTTCATGAGAATCGACTCATTTCAAAACACTGTGGAACGTCTGAAAACATGTTTTGTTCTTTGCAAGACAGAGTGAAACACACAGTTTGTTCCAACTTCAAACTCTCCTGAATTGCAAAGAGCATTATCTCCTTCGACTTGTTCGGATAGGTTGATGAGCACCCTGTGTGACTCTCATTACCGGGCTTTGACCGAGTGTTTTTCTCTATTTGAATCGTCCATTCGATTGATGTTCTCGATGAAGATACTAATATTCATTGACGACTAAATGATCAATAGTTCCATTGATAACTTTGAAAGATATAGAGTATTCTGTGAAGAATAAATGAGTGGACTACAGCAGCATCCAAGGAAAATATTTCATGAATATCTGTTCCTTTATATGCCTTTCCAGTCTTCTGATAATTGTGCTTAGTATATAGTTTGATCTGGAGAACTATGTTATCGTTGTCCGTGATGTACTGACGAGAGAGATTATCCATCTTGAGCAACTCCAGAGGTTCTATTGAAATCATTTGGCTGAACGATCTCATCCACTCCATCATTTTTTCTTTATCACTGGTTTCAACTAAGCGATAGGGGCACCAAATCTTTTGGGTCCCATGTATCCATATATAAGATGTATAAGTACTGGTGTCTCGATATCCATATCAGACTGTATAATGTTGTTTAAATTGAATTCAACATCATTTTCCTCATCATTATCCTTGAAAAATGTCTTGGTCATCATGTATGGTGGGGGTGGGACAAATTTCAAACAGCGTATATTTTCACATATTGTTAACAAAAAATAAACATATAAGTTGGAAAAATATATCAAGTAGGTTACCTATGTTGCCTAGATAGTATTTGATGCAAAAAAATGTAATATCATGAAAAGCATGAAATTTGCAGCCGCAATTCGAGAGGAGAAACACAACGTACGGAACAAGTTTCAAGTTTATTCTATTTACTAATAATGTATTGTTTTATTCGCTTCAGCTTGGAACATATGATTCAGAAGACCAATATGAGTGAGTAATATGGGGCGGGAGAGAAAATAAACCTTCGTACCACAAATAATAAGCCCATTGCAGAGCGGGATATATTTTGTCCCAGCATACCTCTAACTCCAAGGAATTCGTGGTTCAAATTCGGCACCAAAGTACTTGAAAGAGTTAAATGGAATGAAGAGTCTTGGAATACCGTCCATTTTCTCAGAAAAAAATAGTGAATTCGATCAAAATGTGAACCTGGCAAGAAAACTGTCCATTTTCGGGGGCTGGCTCTCAATGAAAATATTTTATAGAACCACATGAACTACATCATACCAAAAATTGAGAAAAATCCATTTGGACCCAAGTTACCTTAAACATTTGCGGGGTCCTTTCGTACGATTCGTACGAAAGCGCTAAATGCCAATTCAAACTGGCGCAATTATGGCTAAATGCCAGTTTAAACTGGCAATGGGCGTGTACACCTCAGTAGAACTTTCAACACAAACCATGTTTATAATGATCCTTTTATACATAAATAATGATTGACGACATAATTCGATCGAAAATTTAACTGGAATGTTTAATTTTTGGACATAAATGATAGTACCTTCTGAAAACGGACCTTCTTATGACGTAGAAACCTTATGTCGCCATAGTTAAAAGAAAATACCAAATGCTCGACGGAGATTGAGGCAACTGATATATCAATTCTTTCAACTGTGATCTCGCGCTCATGTATCATTCATCTCTGTCTGGAATAGTGTTGTTTCAGTATTAGGGTTTTGACGTCACATCATCGCCTCGTTTTCAGAGGTCCGAAAAATCGGCGATTTCAATAATTTTTTATGAAACGTAGGGAGCTCACAGCAAGAAACGGTTTGCGGTGGTGAGCTAGTTTGGGTGAGTTCTATCGAATTATGAAATAATTTTTTTTGTGATATATGCCCATTATAGCTAAATACCAGTTCAAACTAGCAAATATGGCTAATTGCCAGTTCGAACTGGCAATTATAGCTAAATGCCAGTTCAAACTGGCAATTATGGCTGAATGCCAGTTTAAACTGGTAATTATGGCTAATTGCCAGTTCAAACTGGCACTTATATAAGAAAAGTATCATGTCCGTTCAGCGCTTTCGTACAATATAAACACCAAGTTCATTGATTTTAACTCTGTGTGAATGTAGATTTTCAGAAAGTACCTACGTCATAGCCTTGATTATATAATATACTAGTGTGAATACTCAATGGTCATAGGAATGGTGGAGGAGCCAAGTTCCTCTTTCATTTATTTTTTTCTGAAGTGAAATTCAATCTTACGAAAAAAAGAAAAATACACAGTAAGATGCAGTAAGATAAGAACCTCAATATAGAAAACTTCCCCGTTGGGGAATGTGAAAATATTGTCAGCTGTATCAGCAAACTCAAACTACATACAAATCCATTAAACGCAGAATATCTGCAGATGATAGCCCATTTTCAACCTGCCAAAACCACAGCCACTTCAAACAAGAGAAATCTGCTCCCGTATCCTCCCTCCTGGTCCAATCCACCCTTCAGCGAATAGGGGTGCAGGGATAACCTCACAATCAAAAAGCGGCCAGCCATTGGTCAGCTCAGAGGGGTGGAATACTCCCAGATCAATATTTCCATGCGAAGCATTGAGCTCTATAGAGCTTCTATGGAAATTGAGCTACTGGACCACTATCAATAAGGGCTAGTTTTGAAGGAACACGCGGTATGTTTTCCACTGAGGATTTTCCTATATAAATTAATTCCCTGGGGATTTGTTATCAGTTCGAATTTCACTTACCGGATATTGGGGTTGATTAATTCTGTCGTTTGGAGTGGTGGCATTTCAATTTTGGTGTTGTACAGGGTGTTTCTTTGAATCTGCAAATATTGCTCCGGCCGTGGTTTTGAAAAAGCGTTTAAAAAAAATGACCAATCGTGGGCACCAGTTACCGGACTCCTCTTCATCTCCTCCAAAGTAAGTATCGATAAGAATTTAGTTGAACTTATTGGTTAATAATTTTGAAAGAAGAACCTAAAAGTAGACCTGAGGTATAACTCCTGTCTTATATTATTTTGTTCCTTTCTTTCAAAATTATAGTTACTGTAGTTTATGTAGATTGCTCTTCAACTCTAGATCATTTTTTAATTTGAAGAACTTTCTCGATTAGGATGTTCTTTCTGATAATGAAGCGTAGTGATTGATGGATTGATTGTGATTGTGCTTGTAGAATAGTATTTCCTCATTTCTGCCTATTTTCGCGATGATCCTAAAGTGAATCTCCAGAAATCATATACTGCAATCAACCTTGAATAATTTTAATCATGGCGACAATTATTTTCTAAAAATTATGATGGACCATCATACTGTGATGTTGGTTTTTCTATAGAAAACTGCCTACCTACTATGTCAAACGAAATGATATATATGTCCCAAAAGCATGTAAAAACATTGTAGTTTATCGAACGGCACCTGTGGCAATCACTATCCTAAGCAAAATGGTTGAAAAATTGCACTTTCCCGTGCGGATGTTTGCACTTGATTTCGCGATTTGATAACGAGATAAGAATTAGGCCATCCGATACCAATTTAATGGTAGATTTCAAAAATCACCTCTCAATCTGAGCCAAGTCCACGGCACAGCGATTTATTTGCTGATTTTATTACGGACATACTTCCATTATATGAGAACGAGTTGAAACAAGAAACAAATACAAGGGGATGATGTAGCCTTTGCGAATATCCAAACGAGCTGATATAGTCCAGTCATTATATCCAAATAACGGACCTTACCCGTGACCCGTGAATAATTTTTTAGTGGTTTTTTTCTTCATAGGTGTCTCGGGGGGGTCACTGGGAGTGTAAATTCAAAATGGCGACCAAATCAAGCTTTTGCGTATGTTGCGTAAAAACGGTTTTTCTTGAATAACTCGGCCATTTTTGATTCTACAGAAAAAGTTTGGAGACAAAAATTGTAGTAAATTTAGTTTTCTACAAGTTTGGTCCTCACAATTTTTCTGATAGGATCGATATTTTGTAAATTAAACCTGAAAAAAGCGACAAATTCGAAATATTTTCCTTATCTCGTTTATTTTCAACTTTACGGCATAAATGAACAGGAACAAACTTGTGGAGAATCAAATTTTGGACAAATTTTGTCCCCACCTGTTTTTCCGAAAATCGATATTTTCGGAATTAAACCTAAAAAAACGACTCATTCGAAATATCATCATTCTCGTTTATTCTCAACTTTACACCATGAATGAGCAGAAACAAACTTGTAGAGAATCAAATTTTGGACAAATTTGGTCTTAACCTGTTTTTCCGAAAATCGATATTTTCGGAATTTAACCAGAAAATATGTACCCATTCAGAAATATTCGCAATATCTCCTCTTTTCCAATTCTGCAGGTGCAACGAATAGGGCGGAAGTTGTATACAATAAAATGAAAATGATAATGAAAATATTTCGAATTTGTCGCTTTTTTCAGGTTTAATTCACAAAATATCGATCCTATCAGAAAAATTGTGAGGACCAAACTTGTAGAGAACCAAATTTACTACAATTTTTGTTCCCAAACTTTTTCTGTAGAATCAAAAATGGCCCAGTTATTCAAGAAAACCCGTTTTTTAACAAAAAAAACAGTTTTTGAACATACGCAAAAGCTTGATTTGGTCGCCATTTTGAATTTACACTCCCAGTGACCCCTCCGAGACACCTATGAAAAAAAAAACACTGAAAAATTATTCAAACTGATCTAAGTTAGTGGCAGAGACTCAATACTTCCAAGAATATTTTGCCCTGCTCCAAAGATAATATCCGATGGATCAGTGTGAAACTCAACATGTGGATTAGATAACTTGTAGTGTGAGCACCATCACATGAGTTCCACACTGGTCCATCGGATATTATCTTCCGACTAGGGCGAAATATTCTGGGAAATATTGACGCTCTGCCACTAACTTAGTTCAGATCAGAATCGCGACACGTTGGATATTCGCAAAGGCGACATCATAGCCTTTTATTTGCTTCTTCTTCCAACTCGTTATCACATGACAGAGGTATGTCGGGAAAAATTGGAGCAAATAAATCGCTCTGTGTTGTGGATTTGGCTCAGACTCAGAGGTGGCACAGGTAGGTTTTTTAATCTACCATTAAATAGGTATCGGATAGCAGGATTATTATTTTGTTATCAAATCGCGAAATCGTGAGCAAATTTCCGCACAGGATAGTGCTATTTTTTAATCATTTTGCTCAGGATAGTGCCGTTCGATGAACTACAATGTTTTTACATTCCTTTGGGACATGTTATCATATCAATTCATAATCAATATCAATGAGTAAGACTCAGGCTATAGTATACAATTTATTTATTGAATAGCAACTCAAACGTTTTCGGCACTAGGCCATCATCAGGAGATTATCTGAAAAGTGAATTTTCCTTTTACAGGTACAATATACGTAAAAAATATGAGTTAATAGCATTTTTCCTTGTTTGCACTGATATTAACTATACTAGTTGTATATGTCTACTTTTATCATTTCCATGTAAGTACTCAGTAATTCTTGCATCTATATCCTAAGTCAACACCGATGATAATTTCTATTGGCTGATGATGGGCTTATATGTGCCTGAAACATGTTTCTTTAAGATTGATCTTTGATCACTATATAATAAAAGTTGTGGAGATGACTTTGGGTTTTCATCTATATGATTTTCTATATTCGTTAGACATAATTATGTTGGGTTTTCCATAAATATATCATCATATACAAATATTTTCAGGAATAAGCTCGGAAATCAAGAATTTCTAAAATCTTCTTTTGTGTACAATATTTGTGTGTTCAGACTCTTTCTAATAGGTATGTTGAATTGATCTTGATAAATTGATGAGCTCTAATCATCTTTGCAATGTTAAAACTATAGTTTTTTCGTAAATTTCCATGGAAATTACGAAACGATACGTTCTATATGCATGAAAACTTTGCTGCAAACAGTTTGCATGAAAATATTCTCAAGATGCTTCATCAAACATTAAATTGGTGATGTCCTCTGTATCAATGAATATACAGGGTGTTCTCGGTTGGCATTTTTTTAACAGGATGTAGAACTCATCAAAGTCGACAAAAAATGTCAGTTGACCGAAAATCTATTCGCTGAAAGTCATTTCGTCGAAGTCAATCCGTCGAAAGTCAATTGGCCGAATATGTCATTTTGAGACAATTGAACATTAAGAAACAATTGAATTGTTATTGCTAATTAGGAATATTATCAAAATACTCAATTGAGAATTTATGAATTATTGAATCACTAATATTTTTGAAGTTCCCAATCGTATTTTAACACATGGCAACTGAGCTATATTCTGCCCCTATACTTACGAAATCGTGACGTCAGTTTTTACTGGCAGTAAATTTTATTATTGATGATTTTAGCGCCTAGAAATCGACCGAAAAATTCTTGAAAAATATGGAATTGAAAGGTATTGAGTCGCCTACCAGGCCGTCATGACATTTTAATTTTAAAATGTATGATCATTTGAGGCGATATTTGGTGGATACCCAGCGAGCACAAACATCCCTGGGATGTTTTGGGATGTTTTGAAAATGTTGGCATGAAGATGTTATTTTGAGACGTAATATGCACTGACCAAAGAGGTCTTTGAAGGATATTGAAGTATTGTTTTTGTTCTTCTGTGGCATTTCTTTGTTTGCCTACTGAGAGGTATCCCTGGGATGTTTTGGGATGTTTTATAAATGTAGGCATGAGGATGTTTTTTTGAGGCGTAATATGCACTTCCCAAAGAGGTCTAGTAGAAGGATATTGAAAGTATTGTTTTTGTTCTTTTGTGCCCTTTCTTTGTTTGCCCCACCACAACGTCTCATGCTTACGTCACAATACGATGAATTCTGATTTGTTTTCGATTTTGTTCTTTTTGTTCGCAATTGGCATTCGCGTTTGCAGCGTGTCACGCTTACATCACGCTGCTAACGAACAGAAAGGAATTTGGTGAAGTTTATTGTGTTAGAAGACTTATTTAGTTTGTAATGGTTTGTAATAATGACCATCAGATGCAAGATGTGTTGTTCGGTGCCTCAGTGAAATCAATATATAAAAGTACGAATTCATCAATACACAGCTTCTCCGCAGTTGCAAAATTATGCATTGTGGAGAACATTTCAAAATTTGGGAAACCTATTTCCAATTATATGTCTGTGTGTAGTAAGCACTACTCAGAAACCGATTAAGAAGGTAATTTCATATCAAGAAAATATTTTCATGTTCAATCCATTTTTAATGCATTTTTTCATTCAAGGGAAATGGAATCCTAATGCAAAAGTTCATGAGAAAAGGCTTCAGAAAAGTACCTCGAAAATGTTTTTTTACGCGTTGAAAATGTTCTGTTGTGTCCATGAAAAGGCTTTAAAAAGAACTAGGGAGAAGGTAGTTTTGTGACATATCAAGGACATCTCGATAATTGCCGCCTGCGGCGGACATTGGCTGTTCTATAATAGTTCTATTCATGTGTGAACAGAACATCGCAGTGGAGGTTCAATGTCTCAAAATCTCGTACTTTTAACATCTCTGGGATGTTTTTGTGCTCGCTGGGTAGGTACTTCAATGAATTCTAAATCCTCTGTTGAAAAAAATGCTCCCGTATACTTTGCATGTGCAAGCAACCAGATTCATTTTGATAGTAGAAATAGTAACGTCAAACGGGGTAAATATGAAATCCGTAGGTTTCTATGGAACAAAATAAAAAATTGATAGGTGACGCCATCTCCCTCGAATAGGTGAACTAACGGGTTTCTGATGGAAGATTCATTTACTTGGATTGTTGGGCGATAGTTCTGTATTATTGAGTATTGACTGTTCATATATGAAGTTTACTCATAAGTAAACATCGTTTCAGAAATCAACACATTGTGCGGCATTTTGTTGTGCTTGAGATGTTTATATATAAGTTAGGCTAGGCATCTTAGTTGTGCCATTCAAGAGTTTCTACTGGTACAGGTGTGTTTGAACATTTGAATAAAATACACCAGGACCTATTTATAACTATCTTAACTTGAACATATTTCTTCTCGGAAATGTGAACTGATTTGATGGCAAAAAAATATTTGAAGAATTGGGGGGGTTCATAAGTGATGATTTGTTGTTTTTTCAGGGGTAATTTGAAACGATGCCAAAAAAATATGTGAGAAGACCTACGCAGTGATTACGATCCAGAAAAAGTAGAAAGAACCCTAAATAGTTTTTTTGAATGGTTTGAACAAATGAAATGTGTTTTCAACCCCGCTAGTACTCGTGGTAGACACATTTTCGTCCAAATTTGAAATTTCAGAAAGCTGATTGAGCACCCTTTGGTTGAGTTTTGTTTTTTTCTTACGTGATCAATGTAAAATCAATAGTTTTTGAGTTGTTTCTTGTCATTTCACTAAATAAAATATCATGAAAATCTACTATAGTGTTTTCCTATCCCTGTTTCTTCTATTATAAATTCTTCCTCAGATACTAAAAAAAGCAACCGTTCCATATTATACCTGCCGCGTTTGAAACGGACCAAAGTATTTTCTAGCGAGTTATTACCAAAAAAGCAACAATATGTTCCATATTTCCCTCCGGCAGATTGATATGGAAAACTGCCATTTTTTTTTCTAGAAGAGAAAAAGTGATGAAATTTTTCTTCTCACGTAACATGAAACCCTGTGACCAATGTCATCCAGTCTTAATTTTTGAGGCAAATGAGAATGCAAGACTAAAGAGTTACGAGTAAATATTCAGAAATTTTATTCCATATATTACCCCGTTTGACGAAATGTATATACTTAAACCTAGCACTGAAACGTTTGAGGAGTAGGTGAGTACACGAGCACTACCTGATGTTGGATGTTTCCCCTTCGTGTAACGCATTTTCCTTCTATCTATTTAAGCTTACAATTTGGATATAGCACAGGGGACGTTTCAGAAGAAGAGCTCACAGATCTACCAAGCTGCGCCTTCGCTGCCAGACCTTCCTCCAACACAGGCATCCAGCACCCCTATCTGGCTAGTCTGCACCACAATGCAGGTAGGGAGTATCAATGTATGTACACATTCATCGTGTTTTGTCTAAGTTTTACCTGTATACTTGAAATCATCTTAATCTTATTTGAACGTTTTCATTGCAAAGAGGTGTTACAGAACAGATTTCCAGTGTCGATACTCTCCCCTCGTACGGGTACCTGTCGTGTTTCCTTAGAGACATAAGGGTGATTTTAGTATGAGATCCGACTGCAAGATTACTACGACATGCTACGACGGTATTCGATGGAAATCTAATTTTTTTACCGAGTTGCCTATCGAAATGGGGTCGCAAGTATTTTCACTTAAAATAATATCAATTGATCAATAGGCGGTTATGATGTTTTGAAATGCGTAATACACAGCATTGTTTCTACTGTTGTTAATATGAACCATATTTAAAAAAATCAAGAGGTGCTGTATGTTGTGTATGTGTCATAAAGGCGATAATATGCTCGAATTTGATGATGCATCATTCGAAAAGAGATTTTTAAACTCATTGTTTCGTCGCATGAAAATTATACATGACATTCTATCGGCAATGGAATCTGCTGACGTTTTTGGATATCGTACAGATTTTATTTAAAAAAATTACCTGTTTTTTTTTTATTTAATTTCTATAACTAACTCTTTCGAGCGATGTTGCGCGAGAAAATCTCTTATTTTGGTCTTGTATATATCTTAATGATTGCTATAGCAACTCTTAATACCCTCATTCGCCACACATGCATTGGTAGAGTTATTCCATCATGTACAGAAAAAAATTAGCATTCATTTCATATAATAATTATCAATAAACGCCTTGAAGGCATGAATGTAACAAAATGATAGGTACCTGCTTACACCTGGCTGCGAAGAAATTGCGTCGAAGTCGGTGCTTTTTGTTTCGGAAAATCAATCAATGTTATTTTATTTGAGAGTACTTGAAGTAATATATTCTCCAATTCATGATTATACTTTAAAATAAGATTATCATTGAATACTTGATGAACGTATAGTAATCTTGCAGTCGGATCTTATACAAGCTTTCCCTGTACAGGGTGATTGACTATGGATTTCTCGACTTCAACAGCTGATATCTCGAAAACGAAAAAAGATATTTGAAATTTGGAAAAAGTTACTTGAATGAGATGTCATTTTCTTCTGGAAAATGTGTTCTCTGCTTGATTTTATCATTTCATATACAGGGTATGTGAAAAAAAAATTTTTTTCAAATGGAACCCCCTGTATATTATCGCATATTTCGAAAGAGCTATCTTTCCTGATTTTGAAAATATATACTTTTCATATATTCTATCGAGTGCTTGACGAAATATCAGCAAAATTAAATATTAATATTTGGTCCAAGTTAGCTATGGTTGAAATAGAATGAGATGATGAATAAGTGAATTGACATTTGGTCAACATTTCAGTGACATAAGTGCGCAAAATTTCGACAATTTTTTCACGATGCCATATCCACTGGAACAAAGAAGAGATATTTTGGAGTGCTATTTTTCAGTTAATAAAAATCTTGCTGAAACACTTCCAGAACTTCCAGTTTGTCGAATATCAAGAGAATAGTGAGAAGGCAAGACAACGAAGACGAGGAACTTCTTGTAATCAAGTATTTTGTTGAGGATCCTTCACGGTCAATAAGAAATGCAGTGAGAGAGTTTGGCTTCAGCTATTATTTTGTTCAACATACCTTATGGGAATATAAATATAGGGATTTCAGAATTAGACCATGCCACAAACTCAATTATGATGATAATGAGAAGCGGATTAAATTTTGTCTTGTCATATCTGAAAGATGAAATTTAAGTAAGTATAAGTGTAAGTGTTTCAGCCAGATTTTTATTAACTGAAAAATAGCACTCCAAAATATCTCTTCTTTGTTCCAGTGGATATGGCATCGTAAGAAAATTGTCGAAATTTTGCGCACTTATGTCACTGGAATGTTGGCCAAATGTCAATTCACTTATTCATCATCTCATTCTATTTCAACCATAGCTAACTTGGACCAAATATTAATATTTAATTTTGCTGATATTTCGTCAAGCCCTCGATAGAATATATAAAAAGTATATATCTTCGAAATCAGGAAAGATAGCTCTTTCGAAATATGCGATAATATACAGGGGGTTCCATTTGAAAAAAAAAATTTTTTTCACGAACCCTGTATATGAGATGAGTAAATCAAGCAGAGAACACATTTTCTAGAAGGAAATGACATCTCATTCAAATAACTTTTTCCAAATTTCAAATATCTTTTTTCGTTTTCGAGATATTAGCTGTTGAAGTCGAGAAATCCATAGTCAATCACCCTGTACTTGGTCATACTCGAAATCATCTCAATCTCGTTTAAATACTGGATCCTCTTTGCAATCACAGATCTTTTCATGTTCCTCATCAGCAATATAGTAGTCGTATGATTGATGGTACATTGAAATATGCTGAATGTACATACACAGCGTGATTTGTCTATGAGCTTTCCCCATAATTGAATATACTCGAAATCATTTCAATATCCTATGAAGGCTGAACCTTCTTTGCAAGTGTCGATACTATCCCCTCGTAAGGGTACCTATCGTGTTTCCTTTTAGATACATAAATGTGACTCTCGTGATCATCATGGATTTTTTCATGTTTTTGATCAGCAATATAGTAATCATATGATTGATACATTGAAATATATTCCGAATGTACACACACAGCATGTTATTTGTCTATGAGCATTTCCTGTATTCGAATATACTCGAAATCATCTCAATCTCCTATGAAGGGTGAACATTCTTTTCAAGTGTCGATACTCTCCCCTCGTAAGGGTACCTGTCGTGTTTCCTTAGATACATAAAGGTGACTATCGTGACCAACACAGATCATCTTCATGTTCTTGATCAGCAATATAGTAGTCATATAAATGATTGATTAAATTATGCTGAAATTCGCTTATTGATGCAGTTGATTGGATTGCAGATAGCCAATGTGGACCTGGAGGTCTGTCCAGCTCTGCCGATTTCTATGGATCTTCTCCATACAGGGTGCAGAGACACGCTGCGAACATCAGAGAGCGAAAAAGGATGCTGAGGTCTGCTATTGGACCCACCGGGTACACCTGTCTTGATACATGTGGTTGCTTGTTTTTGTTTGCCTTTGTGTTTCCTGCCTTATTTACGAGTTGTATGACCTTTTTGGATGAGATTTACGTAGGTAATAGATACTGTTGAGTTTTTTTATTTATAATTTTGTAGAATTCTTCATTGGTGTTGATAATAATTGAATATTTCCCTAAACATTGTTATTACGAAGAATACAGGGTGTCCGGAGTACGGAAAAGTTTGTGGGTTATCTCTCGGAGTACCTAAAAGGAGTAAGATGACAAGTATTCATGAATATTGATAGTGAAACGCTTCGTTACCAAGATACAGTTTCGGTTCGCTGACGCTCTGCCTCCCAAATGCTAAATTCGCTTGTCAAACAAAGTGTCACTTTTGATTCTGATAAAACAATCAACTATTTACCCTTGTATTATAAATAACAGTACATTGTTTTGTTGAATGTCAGTAGATAGTTGATCAAAAGTTGAGATAGGGACATGTGAGCCGTTTTGACCAGTTATGCGAATGGTTTAGACAAAAAAATTCTTGAACTTGGAAAATCTCGATTTCTCACACCCTGTATCTCAGTAATAATAACTGCTAGACCCCAAGTATGATGGTTCGTTGAAATCAGCTCACCAGGGAGAATCTCAAAATGAAATAATATATAGGGTGTTCGATAGAAAAAAGTTTAACTTCAGTGTTTTATGGTTTTTGGGGACACCCTGTATGTTTCGAAATAATTTCAACTGGTAGCCTATGTTGACATGCGCAACTTCCTAGGGAGGAAGAATTCCAAGAAGATAAGTGGTTAGCCTTCTGCTAGAGACCCCAGATAGCACAAGACGTCTTTAAGATGTCTTAATTATATCCTATCTTAGTCTGTACGTCTTACTCCCTGAATAAGACGTCTACAAGATGTCATCATTCAGACGTTTTAAAGATATCTGATTCTCACGTCCTGAATACGTCTTAAAGACATCGTAATAATACAAATAAGCAATAATGATATTTGGTATATTATAATAAGTATTAATCATAATAACTTTTAGTGTGTCATATCTGACGAGCGTTCTCCACTCTCAGAATTCCTGAATTCCACACCTAGTTATGGTTCTATTCTCATAATATGCGTTAAACTTTTAATAAAAAATATAGGTATGATCATATTGATTCAGGCTAATAGAATATTTTCAATTTCATAATTTTTATAACTTCACCGTAATAAATAGAGGTTATATAGATTGTTCAGAGTAAGTTATTTTATAAATCGGGTGGGATGATTTGAAAATACCGCCATGTCAAACGAAAGAGAGATCGTAGCGCCAGAGCCAGAACGGCGAATGCCAGTACTATTTGATTGTTTACATTTTACATTGTTTGGTTTTGGTGTTTATTGAGAGGTGTGTTTATGTTAATTTCGTTTTGAGTTCTCAATCATTCTCAGCTTTGATATTTGTGTATTTTTTAAATCCGTGTTTTCCAGTGGTTCATTGTGTTTTGATTGAGGACAATAATATATCTGATGTTTAACAGTAGAACACCTACCTACCTCTAGTTGGAATGTTGAACCTAAAACCTATACCAACATAATGATAAGCTGTAAGTTTTTATCATTATTGAACAAGAATTCTTATGACATGGCCATTTAGCTTGTGCATTTCAATCTGTTTACACTTTTTCAGTGATTCAGTGTCTCCAAAATGAAGCTGAGCTCATAAATGCGGGCCACCTGGTTTTGGCTGGTCAAATGGATGCAAATGATTGCATTGAAGTATAATAAGTATTATGCCTCATTATGTTTACAGTCCACTGTGTGTGTCAGGTAAGAAGAACTCTCCCTAATAATGATATTGGTTAACTCCTGAAACTCAACTCTATATCATTGTTTTCAGGAAGAATGTGGGATCTTCCAGAGATATAAATATGCTTGGTTGACACAAAAAGCAATCAACAGAGGGACTAATACAATCAGTATTCCTGTAGATGAGATGCCTTGTTTTGAGAAAAAAAAATGAAGAGACCAGTTATATGAAATATAATGAATATTCTCAATGTTCCTATCACAAACAGGGTGGACCAGCAACTTCTTTTCTGGAAATGTCAAACCTGTCCTTGGTAGTTGTACTTTTCAAATAAATGTCACAAAGATCAACTATTTATTTGTGTTATTGTATGTACCTACATGTTTGCTTCATAACTGGCACTTTGACTTGAAAAACATAGGAATGAAAACAGTTATTGAATAATACTTTTAACATCCAAATACTTCAAATTCCACTTTAACTAATCCCCAGAGGAACCTTGAGATCCATTCAGAAATGAGGTCTTTCTCATGTCTTTTCTATGCCTTTATAAGACTCAGAAGAGACATTATAAAGATATCTTAAAGACGTCGTGATTTTTAACATCCGGCCTATAGAGGACGTCTTTCAGACGTCTCTAAGGCGTCCATAGACGTCTTAAAGACGTTGTGAACGTCTGAGAACGATGTCTTTAGGATGTCTTAAAGATGTCTTTGTGCTATCTGGGACCGAGGCGTTACTGGTGGCCCACCCTGTATATTCAATTCAAAGCGATATTCATTCCATTGTAGATAATATTTCCGAAATAATATATATTTATAATCTTCGTTGGAGATACCTACTTATTGTTTTTACCATGTTCACCAGCTAGAGTATGATCCATGGTTTACCGGGCACCCTGTATAATTCACTGCTTCCCAATAACAGAGGCATCTTCTCTCCCCCAAACCGTTGATAAACCTCCGAAGATCTTAACCAGGACTGTTCCAGTCAGTACTTTAATTCTAGATTTAGTACTATTCGAAGTACTTTTTGATGAAATCTAGTACTAAATGAGTTTTGGGATCCTTGGGTTCACATTGTTCACCAAGTGGACGAACGGGCTACATTTCCACTCTCACCAGTTAGTGCTACTGAAACGTGAGGTCAGTGTCAATGTCAAAAACTCAAAAATTTTTGAAAAAATTATGTAGAATATTGAACGATATTGAAGCCTCAAGTTTTCGAAAGACTTGAATCGACTTACGTTTTTCTACTCTCAATGTGGAACTTTACGAACAATTCTTATATTGATGGAGAAGAAGATATCATAGAGGAAGATGCCAAATGACAAGAAAATAAGAAGTTCATTCATCAGTTCTACCAACCATGACGTCATGTTTCAGTGGCGCGTTTTGGTGGACAATAAATTATGTTAGCCACATTTTCTCATGAGTTTGGTACATTTCTTCCATTTTGAAAATATTTGAATTACTTTGATCAATTGAATTTCATTTTTCATTCCGATATTTTCATGTGGTGAAATTATTCCACTTTTATTTGATTTTCTGAGGACATGAATTCGTGAATCAAACTATGCAAGCACCTCGAGTGCGACAAATTTGAAGAAATTTAAATCCAGTACTAAATTCCCAATTCTAGTACATTTTCAAAATGTGATCTAGTGCCATATTTTCGGTCAGGAGCAGCCCTGATCCTAACCGACTTTGGTTTGCAGCAGTATCAACTCCGCGTTCGACGAGCTCAGGATGCACGTGCCCACCTTCCCGTACGAGAAGCGCCTGAGCAAGATCGACACCCTGAGGCTGGCGATCGCGTACATCGCACTGCTCAGGGAGGTGCTCACGGCCGACTGCGACCCGCTCACCTACGTCGAGCGTTGTCTCAGGGGCGAGATCAAGGCCGACAGGGCCAACTGGAACACCAGCGGTGAGGGTTTGTCGATTGGCAAGCTACGAGTGCTACGCAAAATGGCGAACGGATTCAATATAGTACCCGAAATGGTCCACCGTGCCATAAAGATGCGTTGCAACAAATAATCCGTGTGGTCACAGTATATTATACTTATACTGTGGTGTGGTGAGGTTTATCCTTCCTCTAGAAATCTGATTTACTCTAGTCAAATAAGGGTTTCACCTCGGAATGAGAGATAATGAGCTGAAAACTAGTATTACCTCTGTCTGCTGACAAGTATCTGTCACTTTCAGTGATTTTTTTTATTTCGGAATGAAAAATCAGCAGATTCAGTACTGTCAGTTGAATTCGGAATATAGCCCGAATTCAACTGGACAGTACTGTCAGTAGATCCACTGACTCTGCTGAAAATCTATGTTCCGAAATATGAAATCAAAGATACAGTGCTGTAATTCGGAACACGTTTTCATCATTAATCAGCATCAGTTGATCAGTGATCGCCGGAAATTTTCTTTATTGTTTCCGCAATCCGCGTGGATTATTTGTTGCGCCCAGTCTGTTTTTCGTCCTGTATCTAGTCTAGATGGACCAACTCAGGCAGTATTGAATTCGTGCATGAAAATGCTCGGATTGGATCATGAGTTCATGTTTGATATAATTTGTCTATACCGGATGACACTGAAATCATTGGTCAGGGTGTTATCCAGTTGTTTTCTTATGTTAGTCTTTTTGACATTCGGATCGAATGATCTAGGAATATTCTCAGTATACATGGTGTATTAAAGAGCATGGAAATATTTCAGGAATCGATATAGACGTTAAAAGTCAAACTTGAAACACAACTGAATGTATGAGGCTCTGGCAAATGATTTCGTTATCATCCGGTATACTCAATCAATTCAATGATTTATCATTTTTAGATTTGACTGCTCGTCTTTCCTGGATAAATTGGGAGAACCTAGGCGTGACTCCTGGAAGACGTAGTAGTCTGACGTCATTGGCTCTCACGTCGGAGAATATTAACAATCATCAGTGAGACCACTTGTAGAGATGTGAAACCGTCAAGTGTTTATATGAACATATTGTAAATATATGTCTTTCGAATTTTTTATGTGCAATACTTATCGTTTTATTCTAAGAGAATGTAATAGCATTATATATATCGTTGTAATATATACAAATTTCCACTGAACATAAAAAAGAATCCCTTCAGCGGGTAGGTACTTTTATGTTGTTTTATTATTTCTCCCAAATTTATTGTTAAAATTTCATATTCTATATTCCATTTCTGTCAACAAAAAAATAGTTATCCTCTACAGAAATAATAGGTTATAGGTATGAATAGAACTCAATTTAAATAAAAATGTTTATTCGTTCTTGATGAGATTCAACTAAGAGAATGATTTTTATTTGGAAATTTCAGCACCCTGTATATCGTACAGAGAATGATGGAAGTTAGATAGTACAGAGAGTATCCAAAGATCACTTTGATAAACATAAGAAGAATGAAAGATCCTCTCTCTCTCTCTCTTTATTTTTTTTATACATGGAAACATTGACCTTTCGTAGCCATAGGCATAGTCCTATATAGCGAGTATGATAAACTGATTAAAAACTTCTGGTACCAGTTAAAATAAACTTGATACGCCAATGGTATGAGCAGCTGGCTGGCTCTGGCCTTAGCAGGCTAGTGGCAAGTGCACCTCTATAGACTATAGTCTATGGGCTGTTCCATGCATACTTCAGTACTAGATTTAGTACTATTCGAAGATGCTCAGTACCAAAGTACTATTTGATGAAAACTAGTAATTTGTCTTGCTTTTGATTTGCTTGATAGGTTCTTTTGAGGTTGAGAAGGGCCGGGTTGTGGTTCTACTACTAAGTAAGTTTTGAGATTATTATTGGGTTCACACTCGGTTCACACCTTTCGCCAAGTGCCAAGTGGATGGAAACGAATTGTTCCAGTCTATTTTTCTCTTGAGTTTGATACATTACATACATTTTGAAAATATATACATTACTAATTCTAGTACTTATTCGAATTTGGATCTAGTACTATATATTTTTGGATACGATTACACGAAAAAGAAGAAGAGGAGACCTGTTTTCTTTGTTTGGTTAGATTAAATTATTTTCCGGTTCCTGTTTTTTCCTGATCTTTGTTGTGTGACGCGTTGTGAATTTGTCAAGCCGGGCGTGTCTTCTTCATTTCATCAAGTCACAGTCAGTATCAAAATGGCACCAGCTTACAAATTAACTTATTTCAATGTAACCGCCCTCGGGGAGCCCATCAGATTCCTGTTGAACTACGGCAATCTGGAATTCGAGGACGTCAGGATCGATATGGAACAGTGGCCCACCGTCAAACCCACCATGCCCTTTGGTCAGATGCCCATCCTCGAACACAATGGAAAAGTAGCCCATCAGAGCATTCCCATCGCCAGGTAAATATCCCAGAATTCCCAGATCTAGATCAATTCCTAGGACTGCATGTTCACAACCGGTGTGAACTTGGCAGCCGAAAGTGAGCAGCCAAAATTCCGGAAACAGCCGAACGACCATTGGCGTCCGAATTGTTTTCCCTCACTTGATGCTTATTGCTAAATCTAAATTTATTTGTAGGTACCTGGCCAAGCTGGTTAAATTGAATGGCAAAAATGATTGGGAAGATCTGGAAATTGACTCAGCTGTTGAGACAGTCAATGATCTGAGGGCCAAAATTGCCGCCTTTCACTATGAGAAGGATGAAGCTGTGAAGGCTACTAAGGCTGGTCCATTGTTCAGTGAAATTCTTCCCTTTTACTTGGAAAAGCTTGAAGCCCAAGCAAAATTGAACAATGGATATTTGGCTTGTGGGCGTTTGACATGGGCTGATTTGTATTTTGTAGGCATATTGAAGTACTTGAACTTCATGGCTTTGAAGGACATTATTGCTGATTCTCCCAACTTGGTTTCTGTCAATGAGCATGTGCTGGCTCTGCCTAGCATCAAGGCTTGGATTGAGAAGCGTCCACAAACTGATATGTAATCCTGCATCACATCCAATGTTTTTGAAATGTTTATAAAATTTGAAAGTTGGGATCAATTGTTGAAGTTAAAATTTTGTATGAAAGCCTGTTATTCCTATTTGTGATATTAAATGATCTGAAAGATTATATGTTTATTGAGAATTCTTTTTTTTTGTGTACCTACCTATTTATATATTTTATTTGCTCTCATCAATGTAAAACACAACAAGGTTACTTGGACTGAAATATGAAAAGTTTCTGTCTTCAATTCAAGATACTAAATTATGAGGAAATTTTAAAAATATCCTTTTTGTTCCTTATATCTCCTCTCTCTATGATGTTGATATATTAGATTTTATTTTTTAGGTGAAAACCGTGATTCGGACAGAAGCAATAAAATTCAAGAGATTATAAACTATATGAATGTATTCCTGAAATTTGATCTAAAAAATAAAATCTATTTCTCTGCATTGTGATATTGTCATATTAACGATATTGTTAGGATCATGCAGTGAACCCGTTTTATTTTTTTGAGCGAAAACCGTGCATCAGACTGAAACAAATGTTGAGATTGAATTTGCTCAGAAATGAGTGAGAATTTCAGAAATGATTTCAATTTAAATATCAAGTAAGCTGCCTTTAGGTCGGCAGCTTACTTGATATCTTCTTGATATTTAGCCGTCATTGCTCCGAGTATCATAAACTCACAAACAATTAAATAAAGACTTGAGACCACTCAAAATAAACTTGATACGCCAATGTTCGAAGCAGCTGGCTCGTTACCCCCGAAGTGTCGGGGGTAACACCTACGTGAAGTGGGCTGCCAGAGCTGGCTGCCAGAATTTCCGAACTTTCCCGATCGGCCAGTGGCACACGTTTCCCCCCTTTTTGGGTAGGGAATGTCGAAATTCCTCAACTGCTTTTGTTTGCGATGATGCGAGGTATGATTTGACAAGGAATTATTTTCTGATAGCATGATTCTCCACATGATTACCTATCTTCCTGGCCCAAAAGCAGTTGAGCAGTTTTTTGCAAAAGTATCGCGAAAATAATATATTTTTCCATACCTATGATTTGATAAGGAATGATTATTCTATAGACTCTATAGAGAATGATTCGAGACCCAAAAGCAGCTGTGCAGTGCTTTCACAATGCTGATTATTGTTTTTTTTTCAAGTAGGCTGCTCTAGGGCACTTGATATCAATTCTGATAATGATGGATTAGATATGCGTCGCCGAGCTCAACTACATACATCGCATCATCGCAAACAAAAGCAATTGAGGAATTTCGATATTCCCTACCCAAAAAGGGGGGAAACGTGTGCCACTGGTCGATCGGGAAAGTTCGGAAATTCTGGCAGCCAGCTTTGGCAACCCACTTCACGTAGGTGGGGGTAACGGCTGGCTCCACAGAACTTTATATTCTGTTCCTGGCACTGGCCACTCAACATTTTAGCCAAAAATGAGAATTGAGAAGTAAGAACTAAAACGATGACGAAGAAGGGAGCTTTTCATGTTCGTTTTGTTTGGTTAGATTTATAGGTTATGGGTTGCGTGCAAGAACTGTCAGATGACCGACACTGGAGGCAAAATATTGAAACACAAACGTCACTTTACTTATTTGTTTACAAGGGATTGAAATAGTTTTTCACAATTATTTTGGCATACGAATCGTATTTTTCCGCTATCCATCAATTCGCTCATGCCATCACATTATGCTGTTGTGAAATGCACGAAAACTGCAGCGGAAGACGAAGTAATCCGGTTGGTACAATATGATTTAAAAGTAAGTACCTATAGTCACTCACATAATTATATAGTTTTCATTTTTGAAATTTGGTAATTTCTCTGATTTCTCATCGGAATTCTTTCTGCGATAGAAGCTAATAGAAATACATCTGAAATTTTTAAAATAATGCCAGAAAATTGGATTCATGCAATCAATCGGGAGGACTGGTCTGACATGCTGATGATCGTGTGTGTTGTAGACATTTTCAATATATTAGCAGTATTAGCTTGTATTGCAGAAGTGACAGAAGGTAGAAGGAATTTTAATAAAAAATGACAACATTCCATAATGATAACTATGTGAGATTACTATTTACCTGAAAAATCATATTCTTTAGTCGCTTGCTGCATTTTTTGTGCATTGTACAACAGCACAATGCGAAGGCATGCTCGAATTAATGAATAGCGCAAAAAACACGATTCGTATGCCAAAATATTGTGAAAGACTAGTTCAATCCTTTGATTCCTCTGTAACCAAGTAAAAAAGTGAGGTTGTGTTTCAATAATTCACAGAAGAATGAGGTTGTGTTTCAATATTTTGCCTCCAGGGTCGGCCATCGTGCACGATGCGTGTTCGTTTTATTTAATTTTACTTATCACGTGCTCATCACTTATTTTGTGAAGCCGGTCCACGTACCACTACACCAAATATCTGAAAAATCAATTTGGCGTGTCTACTACTCTACTGTCTACGTTTGTTATTTCAAGATTTTCCAGTCGCGGTCAGTATCAAAATGGCTCCAGCTTATAAATTAACTTATTTCAATGTCACCTCTCTTGGGGAGCCCATCAGATTCCTCTTGAATTATGGAAATCTCGAATTCGAGGACGTCAGGATCGATATGGAACAGTGGCCCACCATCAAACCCACCATGCCCTTTGGTCAGATGCCCATCCTGGAGCACAATGGAAAAGTAGCCCATCAGAGCATTCCAATCGCCAGGTATAATATCCCACTAGATAAATTCACATCACTTGATGTTAATTGCCGAGTCTAAATTCATTTGTAGGTATGTGGCCAAGCAGGTTAAACTGAATGGCAAAAATGACTGGGAAGATCTAGAAATTGACTCAGCTGTTGAGACAGTCAATGATCTGAGGGCCAAACTTGCAGTATATCATCATGAAAAGGATGAAGCTGTGAAGGAAGCTAAGGCTGGTCCATTGTTCAATGAAATTCTTCCCTATTACCTGGAAAAGCTTGAAGCCCAAGTGAAATTGAACAATGGATATTTGGCTTGTGGACGTTTGACTTGGGCTGATATGTATTTTGTAGGGATATTGAATTACTTGAACTTCATGGCTTTGAAGGACATCATTGCTGATTCTCCCAGCTTGGTTTCTGTTAAGGAACATGTGCTGGCTTTGCCAAGCATCAAGGCTTGGATTGAAAAGCGTCCAAAAACTCATATTTAATATGTTCATATTATTTTTTAATTATTTATAAAAAATTTATATTGGGATCAAGTGTTAAAGGAGTTGTAATTTTATGAAAAATTCTAGTGTAATTGTGATAATATATGTGCTGAATGATATGTCTATTGATAAATTATGGATTTTTTTCTGTATAAATTTTATTTGCGTTCAGTTTATATACTATTGGTGGATAGAGTGAGTAGAGTGATGGAAGTAAGTTATGGTGTAAGTACTGTACGGTTTTGTTTCAGTTTTACTCGACCTCTTGAGATCAGCGAGAGCAATGGTTCCGTCGATCTTCTAATAGATGGCGACATTGCACAATTATGACATCTGTCAGTTTTGAAATTGTCGCAGATTTTTCGAATTCAGAGTTGATCAGTTGAATAATCCAACTGTTACATATGGTCCGCCTACCTAAAACGCCATTTCCCATTTAATTTCCACTCGTCACAGCAGCAAATAGCAGCATCACCATCTAGCGGGAAAATGTAGAATCAACGTCTCGCTCGTTGTGACGCAGAGAAATCATAGTAGGCGGTCGAGTGATTTTTGTTGTTATGTTGTGACTTTTTAATAGAGTGACGACAATTCATGAAAAATGGCCGCCGTTTCCGTGTGTCGAATGTCACTGAACGTCAAAATAAATGATCAAAATATAAATAGAAATTTTTAAATTTCATTGCATTTCTAATGAACCAGAAAGTTGAAAGATCATCAATAAACAGATCATCAAAAATCTGTTATAATCAATGGTTTTAGTATCATGATCAAATACCTTATTGTCAATAATAACGTCAACAAAATCCAATATGGCCGCCATACGTCTCCATCCAAGATCGTGGACAAGTTTCTCATTTTAGAATTCAATCAGATTTGATAAAAAAACGATAGCTATATATACACCTATTAATCATTTACCGTCTAAAGCATCACAAGCAATGGTTGATGATTTAAAGAATCATTTTATTCAATAAAATTTAACTGTTATTTACAAGTCCATGTACAATCATTGACAATCAATATAAAATTATATATGAAAAACAAACAAAAATTATATTATCTGTTTCTGATAAAATAAATACATATCCTATTTACAAAATTTTACAAATGTTCAGTCTATAACAACTAATCTACATCTCCTTCTTCGTCTAACGAACGAAGTATTTTGGCAGCTAGATGGCGCGACTGGCGCATCCATCTTGATTTCATGTTTATCCTGTGCTGTACAGTCACCTGCATCTTTGCCAGGACCATCTTCAGACGCTTTCTGAACTGGAGCAGTGTTTATCGCATTTTCAAAGCTGACAGCCATTTTACTTGGATTTACCGTCCTTTCCTGACTGGATTCAAATTTGGTAATGTCACAATCCATGTTCGATATGTTCATCTGGTCGAGTAGACTCATGATGTTCCTGTCAATGTTTTTTTGGCCGTCCCCTCTCAAATTGTTGAAATGGTTTTCTTCCAAGTGCAAAACCGGTATTTCTCCTTCGTGGGTGAGGGTCAGGGGTGATCCGTGGACGGAGAAGGGAGACTTGTTTTTCTCCAAGATGTTCTCAAAAGAACAAATAGGGGTGTCCTTTACAGGGATAGGGGTGATGCGCTTACGAATCGGAACATCTTTTTTATTTGGAGTGCTTTGTATCGTTATTGTTTGAGAAAAAGATTCCTCCGTTAGATTCTTTACAGATTCAATTATTGCTGTCTTCCTGGATGTTTCATCATTTATTCTCTTCTCTGGAACATTTCTGTGGGATAAATTCATCTCTTTAGCTGCTTTAGTTTCATTATCTCGACAATCTGGCATAGTAGCAATGGCCTCCTTACAATCGTTGAGTTTCATTTCCAGGTTCAAGTTACCTACAGTATTTGATGTTCCATCAGCTGTTCTGTTTACATCTTCAGATGATTTTCTATTGGATATAGTGTTTATTACTTTTTCCAATTTCATTCCTTGTCCTTCTTTCTTTTTATCTACAGTTTTCGACATATTGGTGATGGTTTCACTTGCTTTTATTGTTAGCTTTTCAGCTTGCACTAATTCTGTGAGAAGAGGTAGACTCTTGTACTTTGATCCTAGATTGAGTTCTTTCAAGTCCTTATTTTCGTTTTCTGTTCTAGGTTTACTCTCTTTCTTTGATTTGCTACTAACAATTCTATTTGGGGCTTTTGGTGAGTTTCTTTTGGATGTATTAGTTTTTTTCAATTCCCTTCCAGTTTCTGTTTCTACCTTCTTTTTCCTTTTATCTGCAGGTTTGGGCATGATAGTGCTAGCTCCTTGTACAGTTTTGGTTAGCTTTTCAGGTTGCATCATTTGGGTGAGTTCAGGTAGACTTCTTCCTGTTGGTTCTACTGTCACCTGTTCAGAATTCTTATGTGCATTTTGGGTTTCAGAATTGATCACCGTATTTGATTTTCCACTAATCAATCTATTTGATTTTTCTGAAGAATCTTCTTTGGTTGTATTAGATAATTTTTCGAAATTTCTTTTCTCTTTCTCTTCACTTATTATACCATTTTTAGTCTTTTTTACTTTCTCATCTGCCATTTTTTGCATGGTGGTGGTGGCTTTACTTGTTGTTGTCGTCAGATTTTCTGGTTCAGTCAGTTGTGTGGGAAGGGGTAGACTTATGCCTTTTGATTTATCAAATTCTTCAGAATCCTCGCCTCCATTTTGGGTCCCAGGATTACTGCTTTTCTTTTCTTCTCCAGTTAATGATGTTTCATTTTCAACTAGTGTTTTTGACTTGGTGGTAATGTCTTCACTAGCCGTTTTGGCTAGTTCCTCAGGTTCCATCAATTGTGTGAGAATGGGTAGGCACCTGTCTTTGGCTTCTTCATCAAGTTTTTCAGAAAAAATATTTTCAATTTGCGGCCCAGGTTTACTTTCAGAGTTCAGTTTCTTCCCATTATTTTGCTTATCTGATAAGGTCTTTTTTGATGCATCATTCGTTCTTTTTTCCGGTTTCCTTTCCTTTTCTTCTCCACCATTAGTTTTGAGTTCTTCTGGTTTAGGAAGGCATATTCTTTTAGTGATTTCTTCACTAGGTACCTCCTCTCGAGGTATAGGCCTTTGTTGACTGGAACTAGCCCCTTTTGGTTGAGTGGTTCCAACTATGTTGCCTTCTTCTTTGATGGCCTTTTGAGATGCTCCATCCAGTTGGTTGGTAGTGCTGGGAATATCTTCAAAGACAAGTCCAATATTTCTTGTTGGCTGTATATTTTTTGATGTGTCCATTGGCTGTGGAGATGTCACCTCTTCCACTGTTCTATCCTGTTTTTCTGACACATCAGAATGATGATCAACTGCATTTTTCTGATATTTTTCTTTGAGATCAATTGACGTTTCATGTATCTTCCGTATTTCATGATTCAGTTTATCTTCTCCTGGCTCCTTCTCTTGTTTTTTGTCTTCAAGTATATTACTGGATGGAGGTGGAGCAAGATCCTTCTCATTGACTGTGAGGTTTGACTGAACATTCTCTCCAGCTGTGCTACTTTGCCTAATCAAATTTTGATAAATGGAATTTGTTTTGTCTGGATCAGACTGGATTAGTTCTCTCCGAGGGTCGTTATCTAGAAGTATTAATGCTGGTTTACTCCACTTCTGCACTTCTGAAAATGCATTTTTTGCTTCTTCTGAAGATTCTTGACATTGTTGCTTTGGCCCACTAACTTGGTTGGTATTGTCTTGTTGATTCTTTTGATCATCACCTGTTGCATTTGCAGCAATGAAATTTGCATTATTCAGTTTTTCATATTCTGGAGTAGAAATGTTTGATCCTGATCTAGAAGACTTTTTGTATTGTTTGGACTGTCTGTCCTTACTTGTAGCAGAGTAATTGTCAGAATCATTTGAATCTAGCTCTTCTACTATCTCATATTCTGGAGTAGAATAGCTTGACGCTGATATATGATCCATGATTTCTTTATTATATGTATCTTTTTGATCCAACAATCTTTTACTTGTATACTGCTGATACCCAATTACTTTTCTGGGATGATTATTTGGTGAAACCTTGGAATTATCTGGAGAATTAAATAATCTAGCCATTCTTTCTTGACTCTTGCTGATATTGTTTCTGTCTGTTGTTTGCCAAGATTCTTCAAAATCCATTCCCATGTCATCTCCAGAAGGCATAGGAGTCACAGATCTACATCTGCTACTTTCCTTGACCTCGAAATTTTTCGTTTGTCCAACTCCTGTGTGTTTCCCAGATGGCTGGGGATTTCCAGATCGACATCTGGCAGCTTCTTTGGTCTCAACATTTTTTCTTACTTGATTGCCTTGCCGACCTACATCTTTTTCATCCACTTTATTAATTGACTTTGATTTGTTTCTCTTGGTTTCATGAATCCTGTTCATTTCATCTATCTCACTGATTGACTTGGATCTGTTTCTCTTTGTTTCATCTAGCTCAGTTATTGATCTAGATCTGCATCTGCTGCTTTCAGATCTAGCAGTTGATCTACTTCTGCTAACTTGTTCACCTCTACTTGTAGATCTTGATGGGTGTGTGTCTGCCGTGTCTGTTTTACTCCACTTATACTTCCTTCTGTTTTCTTCTTCTATGGATCTGGATCTGTGTCTTGAAGCTTCATATCTCACATTTGATCTAGATCTATGTAGACGATTCTCAGTTTCCACTCTTGATCTACTTCTTCCATGTCCAGGTTCTTGGTGTGAAGGGTTATATCCTGAGTTGTATCGGCCTTTTTCATGGTGCCTAGGACTGTCATCTCTGTTTTTGAATCTTCCTTCTGATCTGCTTCTTTTACTTCTTGGTTCATCCTTGGGTTGCTCTTGCTGAGATCTACTTTCTTCACTTTTTTTGCTTGTTCTTTCAGATTCATCATGTGCACTGTAGTTTCCTAGTGGGTTGTATTGGTTGAAGAGGGAATTGCAGTCGTTTTTTGTGAGTTGGCTGGGGTCTTTTCTAGGTATTTTATAAGAAGGATTCATTCGAGGTGTATGATTAGAATTTTCTGATTGCTTTGTTTTCTGGTCAGCAATAGAATTTTCAACAGATTTTCTATCTGTGCTTTGTTTTCTTCCATTTTCCATTGCATTCGAAATTTTTTGATGTGCTCTGGCTGTTTGAATGCTGAATCTTCGTTTGTCTTTATCATCCTCTATATTAGCTTCAATGAGAGCATTAGTTTCCATCACACATTCATCTGAATGTTTGGGATCCAGTGCTTCTTGTTTATCTTTGAGAATATCTTTATTTTCATGTCCTGATTGGGAGTTGATTAGAGTTTGTCTTAAAACAGAGTCCATGTCAGAATGTTTCATTATATTTTCTCTTACTGTTCCACTTTCTCCTGAAGAATAGTCAAAGTTATTGATATTTAAACATTCTGTGGAATTCTCATTCTTTGTACTCAGTGAAAAGTCCTGATCCGCCATTTCTTTGGTCTTCTTGCTATCTTCTTGATGTCCACTGCTTCTCTTCCTTTTTGTGAATTTTTCATCATTCAATGTCCTTTGAAGTTTGTTTTCCCTGAAGTCCCTGATGTTTTCAAAATTCTCTTTTGTGAAATACTGTTCTGGTGGTATTTTCATTGTAGGGAGGAGTTTATTAACATCTTGAAGAACACTGTCCATAATTTTATTGATTCCATCTGTGAAAATATCTTCTATTTTTTCTGTTATTTGTCTGTTAAGGTGTCTGGTACTGCTTCCTGGGATATCTCCAGGTGAACTATTTCCTGTAAGCTTTCCTCCTTGTTTTCGGATTTTTCTTTCTTCATCAGATTCGCTGATGACTTGAATTTTTTTCCTGACTGGTTTCACCGTAATTTCTTCAGAATTCGCTTTTCTGTCTGACTCTGAATATTCGGTATTATCACTAGTATCGCCATTTTGGATGTCGGTAGCGTCATTTTCAGAATGTGTTTCCCTATAAAAATGAAAAATAGCATTATGTCTTGACCAAGGTCTTCAGACAAAATTGAAAATAATCCAAATGAATACAAGAACATTAATCTCCCTTATCATAAATTACAATCATTTCATGTTTCAGATTCCAATGTCGGAGATATTGAAAAAAGAAAACTTTTCAATATATATATCCTCTAAATCTAACAAGTTACAAGGTGTTTTTCGAAAATGTGAGTTTTTGAAAAGTGGCTGACTTTTTTTTTGAAAAATTCTTCGTCAGGCGGTCGTATACCTAGTTGCGAAATAGAACGTTTCCTTCAAGAAGAATAAGTTATATTCTTGAACTAAATATAGGGAGGCCTATTTCAGTGCCTCGAGAACAATTTTTTATCACAAAAATATTTGTAGTCACTTTTTAAAAATGCCCATTTTCGAAAAACACCTTGTAACTCCGAAACGAGGACAGATATGGATATGCGGATTTCACCATTGAGTTTTTCATGAGAAACGACCCCCCAGGCACCAACATCAGTTTTCTTCCATCTGGTTCAAGAATAGGAGTTTCCCTTTAAAAGTGTCCAATTTCGCCCACCCTGTACATACATCCCAAAATTCGAACTACAGACTTTCTATTTCAGAATTCTGACATACAAAGAATAATAATTTGAAAACTAAACCTCAAATTAGGGCTTCATCAAGTGGAAAATTGTTTATACCAATTAGTACCATGTCGTTAATTATCACTTCATTGGTTTATACAAATGGTCTTGAAATTTGGCGAATGGAGATAAATTTTAATTAGTATCTCCCTGATAACCAGTAGACACTAGAACAGCCCTAATGTATTTTCTACCTTTGATAATTGAATATTTCAGTAACTCATACCCAGCTTGATGAAAATACAATAATTACAATTAAAATTACAAAAAATAGAGAATGAAAAAATACAACTTGATGTGACATATACAGATATACAAGGTGCAATTTGGATCGTCAATTATTATCTCTTTATCTCAACCCATTAACAAAAGGTATACCTTGGGCAAATAATTCTTGGTACACTATGTTAACATTTTTTCAAACAAGGTGAACCTATAACATAACACCTATAACAATATGAATCACTACCATCATTACATTATCAACATTCAGAGATATTTTGAATTGGAATAATGATTGAACTGATCATAATTTGAAGTGGACACCCTGAACAAGCTTATTATTTCTTCATTTTCATGTCTAATCACAATCAATGACATCAGAAGAGTTTCAATTGGAACACTTTTTTCTGTGGTCATTTGAAACACAATTTGTAGTTCCAGTTCAAATTTTGAGCAGAATACTTACAGAATAGAGAATGATACGAAGCCCTGGAAGGGACACATAAAATTAAAAAAATTAAACTCTTCTATACTCCGAGTTATGACTCGGAATTTTAAAATTCTAACATATCTCGGAATTTTAAAATTCTAACATATCTCGGAATTTTACATTCAAAATTCCGAGTTATTACTCAGAATTTTGAAATTCCGAGTTATAACTCGGAATTTTACAACCAATATTCCGAGTTATAACTCAGAATTTAAAAATTCCGAGAAGTCGGAATTCTACATCCAACTCAAAATTTTGAAGAGTTCATTTTTCATTTCATATAAAACTCTTCTAAATTCTGAGTTTCAACTCGGAATTTTAAAATTCCGACATACATCTCGGAATTTTACATTCAAAATTCCGAGTTATAACTCAGAATTTCACATCCGATATTCTGAGTTATAACTCAGAATTTCAAAATTCCGAGATATAAGTCGGAATTTTGATGTAAAATTCCGAGCAATAAGTCGGACTTCGATGTAAAATTCCGAGTTATAACACGGAATTTGAAAATTCGGAGTTATAACTCGGAATTTTGGATGTAAAATTTCGAGATATGTCGGAATTTTAAAATTCCGAGTTAAAACTCAGAATTTTGAAATTAATTTTTTTTTATATTCATGCCCCTTCCAGGCCTTCGTAATTTTCTGAGGATAGTATAAAAGTATAGAAGATTTTGTTCACAATTGGGAACTTCTACAAAACTGGTTCTTTTGTTCCCAAGATGAAACTTTCCAAAATACCAGAGAAAATACCCAACAAATAACTGAGAATGAAAATCCAGGTAGTATATAAAGTCCTATATTTTTCAAATTCACTTCATAGAACTAAAATAACTATAAAATCAAAAAACTGATCTTCTTGATGTTATATCAACTGAGATTTGAAATTTTAATGTCAATATTCTCATTTTGACATCCAAAAACACTCAGATAGGTACAATGAAAAAAATTCAAAAACTGTAAAATTCATGGGTGAGAAAATAAGAAACAAAAAATGATCTTCACTTAAAATCATAATGTCATACCTAGGCTTAGGTTACTATAATTATATAATAGATGTATTCCAATATAAAAGTGGCTCCATTCTCATCCAATCAGAACTTTTATATTCTATATGAACCAACACAAAAATTCACATTGCTTTGATACAGGCAATAAATTCACTATTCTTGATAATCCCCTATAAATATAATACAAAATATCCAATTTCTCAAAAATGTATTGTCAAGATTTTTCAATTCCACTACATGTGCATACACATGAAATATAATTTGATATGATGTATGATCTTTCAGAAAATAAGGATGAAATTTTATTCAATTTTCATGCCTATCATACCATAAGGTTTGTCTTCATCAGTCATTCTATTTTTTCCGTACCTTATGGGCTTTTCATATCTCTGATCCCTTCTGTTTCCATAATCTGGCCTCTGGTACCTATGATTGTTAGAATTGTTATGCCTTCTCCCAATATCCCTATTGTCAAATTCTTCTCTTCTACTGTAGTTACTTCTACTATCATCCTCTATGTATTTTTTCCTGTGATTTCTATTATTTATTCTATTGTTGTGGTAATAGTCAGGGTCTTCATATTCAAATTCATCATCATACACTTCTGGAGTCCTGTTATTTCTAATTCTTTCATCACTAATTGTTAATTTTTTTTCAACCAAGTGTTTTCTATTACTAGTTTCTTCATATTTCTCCTTATTCAAAGCAGGATCAGTTATTCTCTGTCTAATGGATTTCTTGGTATTCCTCAAGGTATCCCTTTCTGGATGGTTTTGTTTTGGTTGTTCAACTTGGTTAACATTTTCCTGATATTTAGGTTTCTTGTTGTTTCCTTCAAGAGTTTCCTCTGGTTTTCTCTTCTGATACCTCATCCCCATCCTTCTGAAAGTTATATCATCCAGTTGACTGCGTAGGTCTGCAATAATCCGATCTTTGCGTTCAATTTCTTTCTTTGCAGTCATAAACAATGAAGAAATGTTTCTAGTCAAGTTCTCCTGAAGTGATTTCAGCCTCAGTAAAGCTGTAGTCAGTTTTTCTACATCCCCTTCTAAGCAGACTATATGGTTCCCTAACATATTGTTTTCTTCCTTCAGCTAAAATCGGGATTTGTTTGATATTAAATCGCATTTCCTTGTCATTTTGTATTTGTGTGCTTACCTTTTCTATTTCATGTCCTAGATCATAATCTTCCATGTCTCTATATATATTCATGACTTCTTTGGAGGTGGATTCTGCATTTTCCTTGTCGGATTCCATATTTGAACTTGTTGGGGATACAAAATGCGTGAAATGGTACTGATATTTGATATTTATGTTGAAAAACTATGGCCATTCAAGTTTTAAATTTCTACCTGCACGTACCTGGAGAACTGAACTTGGACTTAAATAGTACGTATCTAAGGTGAACAGACTATAATATTAAAACAAAGATATATAAAATTGAATTAGAAAAAGGTGTTTATAAATCAGCACTTTAATCGCTCAACATTGTTGGTCATTTTGATGAAATGGAACAATTGGCAAGGTGACGATTCCGATACGGCACCTGGCGGGCAAATTTGAACCAGTTTAGGACGTAATTCAAGGTCATGTTTGTTATTGTGTTCAGTGGGTTTCATATTTTATGAATACCATTCAACAAATTACGTTAATTTTCTCTTCTTGCTTCTCTTGAGTACAAGACATGAACTTTATATCAATTGCCTAATCAATTCTATGTTATTTTATAAATTAGTATCTACAAATCTCTGAAAATACGCGAAAGCATCTGTGTTTGGTTGCTGGTTGAACTAGTAGAAGGTTCCAATGGAAAAATGTAGGATCTATAATGTCCTCTACTGCACTCAAGAAGTTTTTTCTGATAATGAAAAATCAGTTCAGTTGAATGGAAAAAATGGATAAACGTTGAGAATCCAATATGAGTTTGAAAACTGGATGTATGCAGCTCCAACAAAAACTAACAATAAGGTAAATTTGTGATTCATTGATATATTTATTACTGATGAATAACTCTTATTTGCAGTGCCTATCTAAGAGAAAACATGATTGAAATGATCAACAGTTCATAACTATTTTGTTTATGGGCTATGTCTCCAGGACTTGGAAAATAAGTATGGCTGTTTTTCTTTCAAATATTTTTTTAAGAAAAATAAAGAAGCAAATTCAATGCCTTTGACTTTTGAACTGCAATACACAAAGCTGGGCAAGAAAAAAGACATTATGAACATGTGCAGGTTGGCAATTTATAGTTTTATTTGTAATGCTTGACTCATATAAAAATCTTGTTCATGATATCCTGCCTAGGCCTTCATAGATTCCTATTTTGTAGTATCATCTTTGTAGTAAAATAGCCAATGCAGATTGCATGTACTTCCAAAATGATTAAGTTAAAATACAGCTCCCAATTACATTCATATGAGCAAAAACAGTAGCATATTTTATAGATATATAATAACCCTGGTACAAGCAGGTCATTGTAGGTAGCTTATTACTTCATAGCTTGAATTGAATCTTTGAACATACATTGAAGTGACACAATCTATTTCTATTTGAATATTCAGATTGTGTAATAGCTAATAGATATGGTTTGTTTATAGTAGGTAGTAGGTACTAACATTCCTTCAATTTTTCAGCAGGGGAGGAGCTGCCATCCAGGGTATCTTGCAATTGAGTGCAAATAGTTACACAAATTGAAACCAAAACCCAGATTCCTTGAAGTAGAATTCAAGTTTTTAAGGAGATATCACTGATTATTTGGGTACTTGAACATATCCATGACATTTCAAATTGTATCTTGGAAAAATGTATTCATAATTTTACTGCTTGTATTTTATTATTAAACTGTATTTATTCACAAGTAAAAGTTCTACTTTTTTTTCTTTTTGTAATGTTTTATTGTAGGTTTTCAAAATTTATATTTCAATTCCACAACTAACTCAATCAACACCTCATTCTTTTTTGATGCAATTTCAAAGTTTCACTTTATAATCTTTACTGATTCCTTTTAAAATAGGTACCTACCAGGTAGATACTTACTTTTGCTCATTGTTAATTTATTTCTACATATATGAAAGTCCTGGATTTCAAATGCATTTATAATTGTAAATTTTTATGAAGGTATCTTGTAAAATAATTCAGGAAAAAACAGTATACATGAGCACTGAGGGAAGGAGTATACTGGAAGATCCTTCTTTTTGTAGGTACTTCTTTCTTGACTTCTTTGGAGTGGCATAAGTACAGTAAAACACATGTTATGTCAATGTACTTTCATTTTCGAAAATTATTATTAATTCAGTTCCAAAATATACAAAACATAATGAACTATACAGATTGATAAGATAGATATTTTCAATTAGATGAATTCAGGATTACAAAATGATATCAAATCACAAAATTTATGATAATAAACTGTGTAAATACATTAACTCAAATCCTAGGTCATTTGATCAATGCTTCATGTGGTGGAATTCCAAATTATTCAATGATTTTATAAATATGGTAAAAAAAACTAGCTTTACAAGATATTAAATGAATTCCAAGAAGAAAACTCAGTCTAGGATGCCACCTACCTCAACTCTAAGTATATTAGGAATATTCACATTATGAAATGTGTGTTATATCACACACATGGCACATAGGATCATGACAATTTGCTGTTATTGCAGTGAAGCACCATAATATATGAGGTATTGGAGTTGCACTGTTAACAATCCTCAAAGCCTGGAAGTAATATTGTTGAAGATATACCATTGTATCTACTATTAAATCCACAGTAATGTCAGGATGCCTTTGGTGTTGAATTATTTCTTGGTTTAGACTTATTAGAGCTGGTTGCTGCTGATTTCTATTGTATGGATCAATTATTGCACATGATTCTGATGGCTATAATATTTAGCACAAAATAGTCCAATAGGTTAACACATAGTTTAGGGATGGTTTTCAATATGTTCACAGAAGGCTGTTCACTGTTGAAAAACTTCACTCCTGGTATCACCATTTGTGTTCTGTAGGATCCTTTTGCTTGAAGAGTGGAGTTATAGAGGTATTATGGTGAATATATCAGCTTCTGATGATAGTGGATATGCTTGTGATTTTTGATATCCCATAAAACTGTCCCACAGAAATGCACTGGTTTGAAGAAAGCTCAGACTATTTGGTCCACGATTCAGTCAGTAGGTAACAGTTATTTTCCTCACATCACGATGAAACAGTATGATCCAACAAACAATTTTATGATTTCAGTAAAAAGTTCAACAATAAACTCAAATAACACGATGAAATATCAAGAAGAAAATGTATGCAAATCTCAAGAAATTTTGTAAACAAACTACACACTCTTTGCCGCCATCTTGTTTTGAAACAGCGCCCCCAACGGTCGATCACCTTGCCAATAGCGAGAGGCGGGAGAGTTTGACAACACTGACAGTTTTGGCATGAAGCGTCATTCTGTCATTCATTGCAGCTGCGCACTGCGCATGGAATGGGAACAAAAGTGGCTACTACACAGTGCAGTCGTATTATGTTTGACTTTAGCAATGCTCCTTGACAAGAAACTCTATTCGTCAGTACAATGATGGACGTAATACTTCCATCATTGTCAGTACCTTGGATATTAACTCGCGATGGTTTTTTTTTCGAAAATGTTTTTTGGTACTTACGTTTTTTTGTCTGAAAAACACAAATTTGATAATTAAAATGTGAACAAACCACTACTTACCGAGACAATCTCATTTTATTGCCAGATCAATAAGCAATTGGAATCATTGTATATCATTGGATTGTTTCATCTATAAGAGTTATAAGACGATAATAGGTTGGATAATATACAGTGTGTCCCACTTACCATGCTCACCATGGGTATCTCTTTAACGGTGAGAGATACGAGGTCGGTTAAATGACACCAAATGTGGAGTTTGTCAGGGCCAACTATAATGTGGGAAAATATTTTGATAAAATCTATTCGTTTTTGTTTTATACGCAAAAAACAGATTTTGATCATTTTCATGTCTCCTCCGTAACTTCTTTATTTATGAAAATATTCAAATAGGAATTTCACATTCTCATGGCAGTTTTTCAAAGTGATTTCGAAAAATATATGAAATTTATACCAACTCTTCTGGAATTTGAGATATCAGCACCAACTTTAGTTTTTCAAATGTAGGTCATAGCTCACTATGACTTAGTTACAAATAACTTTTTTTCTCTTTCAGATTATATGTCGCAGTAATAGTTTTGTGTTGATAACAACGGAGTTATCGTCATTCATACAAGAACAGAAAATTATTTGGAAGCCGCCATCTTGAATTTATAAATTTTAACAAAAAAATCATGATCTCCGACCTCAAAAACCCCCACTTACCAATTTTGAATGGAATCGGACCAAATCTTGTCCGCCATCTTGGAGCAGCCATTTTTTTTTAATTTCAACAATAATTCCATAACTCCGATCAACTTGAAATTTGGCAGGTGTTCATAATTTCGGTGACAATACATTATGGAATTTTTGTTGAAATTAAAAAAATGGCTGCTCCAAGATGGCGGACAAGATTTGGTCCGATTCCATTCAAAATTGGTAAGTGGGTGTTTTTGAGGTCAGAGATCATGATTTTCTTGATTAAATTTATAAATTCAAGATGGCGGCTTCCAAATAATTTTTTGTTTTTGTGTAAATGACGATAACTCCGTTGTTATCAACACAAAACTATTACTGTGACATATCATCTGAAAGAGAAAAAGAAGTTATTTGTAACTAAGTCATAGTGAGCTATGACCTACATTTGAAAAACAAAAGTTGGTGCTGATAACTCGAATTCTAGGAGAGTTGGTATAAATCTTATATTTTTTTCGAAATCACTTCAAGAAACTGCCATGATAATGTGAAAAATTTCTATTTGAACATTTTCATAAATAAAGAAGTTACGGAGGAGACATGAAAATGATCAAAATCTGTTTTTTGCGTATAAAACAAAAACGAATAGATTTTATCAAAATATTTTCTCACATTATAGTTGGCCTTGACAAACTCCACATTTGGTGTCATTTAACCGACCTCGTATCTCTCACCGTTTAAAAGATACCCATGGTGAGCATGGTAAGTGGGACACACTGTATTCCCAGATATTCTTTTAAGGTTATGGAAATAACGAAAATGCTTGTGAAAAGAAGGAATGACATAATGTGAGTACTGAAGATAACCTGAAGTCTGCTGATAATGACCGTACATTATTTCGGTTTAGGACTGGGGTCCTTGGGTGAATAAAAGGCAGAAATTCTAGAAACATTCAACACACAACGAAATGACACCACAGTGAATTGATTTCAAATCATGGTGGCATCACTGTTATCTCATCATAATTTATTTCCATTTTTTCAAAAGCCTCTTTGTTGCCTCTTCGTCTTTGAGGACACGGTCGATACGTACCAAAGCCACTACCGAATCGTTGACAGCTCACAGCCCACCTTTCATTCTCCGTCTCCGTTTTTCGTTTATTTGCTGAGTTGTGAGCAGCGCTTGTTGCGATCACACCTTGCGTAGAGTTTTCACGCATACTCGCGGAATTGTTTGAAAAAACGCGAAAGAACTGTGAACTTCATAACAATGTAAGAAAGTTTTGTTCGGAGTTTGTTGTAGTGTGTGAAGTGCAGACTGGACCATTTTGGATACGAATACATTGTGCAGAATTCATAAATGCTCGATCGTGTGAGATTTTTTTAGCTGTGGACAGACAGGTAAGATTGTTTTCAAGCCGTTTTAAGATCAAGAACTTCCTTGATAGGTGTTTTTACCGTTCGGTCGCTGGGAACTATGTAGCTCTAGAAGTTTTTTCACCCAAGGCAACATGAATTTATATCGTACAATGAGATTACAAGAAGTAATCTGAGTAAACACGAACTTTTCAACTGTTCCCAAGTTGTCGCGGACAGACAGGTAAAAGCCGTATTTACACGGTGAAACGTGTGCTTGATGTGATACCTACATGCGATGTTTAAATGTCCAGTTTCTTTATTTGAGGCTTGGTTCGCCGAAGGAATTTAATCGAGGAATTCGCCGATATCCTTTGAATAGTAATTTTTACCTTTTATGTTGTACTCCCGTGGAATATGAAATTCTGTATAAGAATATAAGTACGATTGTTGAATAAACAATAGGGTAATATTCTTTAGTGTAGGTATTATGATAGTTGGCTTTGGCATATAATCTACCAGTGTGGTGTGGTTCTTGGAAGGACCTATTTGAACGAGGTCAGCTTTCTTTGAATCATTCATTTGTGCATTTTTTAACATTCGTTATTAGTTGGTAAATACCTAACAGATTTAAAATCACTTTAGAACCATACCTGTAGGGCAAGAGCGACCTTGGAATAATTTCAGTGATGCTGATAATTTAATTGAGTACGTAAACCGATAAACCGAGCGATAAACATACCGAGACATACCTAGGTCTAGGTACTTAGGTGAATATTATTATTTAGATTGTTTTTGTTCATTTTATTTTACTATTGATAATTTCGAGTCAAGTTCATTAGTTTAATGTTGGTGCTCGAGATTGATACCTAGGTAAAATTTTCCTCGAAATTATCTAGAAAATTATACTTGTCCACACATCTGTTGTGAAGATTCTCGTTCTTCTATTTTGTCTGTCTAGCCCGAGGTTTATACTGACCCTGCTGCATTCAAATTGACAATTAACAATTAGGTATTAACTAACTCCAACTCCACTGCAAGATGGATCCACTCAAATGGACAATTTACTGTCAAACTATCCCTCTATTCCCTCTAGCAGAGACTTATTAATTGGGTGGTGAGACACTTTTGGTGCTCAGAAAATTGCACAGGGGTAGCTCGAGGGGCAATGATTCAGCAATCCGATTTTTACCCTTTTGTTCTAAACAAATTTAGAATTTCAGCAGTTCTTTTTTTTGGAAAAAATCTTAGGCACGGGCCATCAGGGCCTATTTTACCATAAGCACAGCCATAAGGCACATTTGAATACTAAAGAAGCTAGCAAAGCCACTTTCGATTTTCAACATGAGACACATCTCATAATTTTAGGCTCATTTTAGGCTAATTTATTACCCCATCCCCGAATTTTTTGCTCCACCCTATCATAGACAAATCTGTGGCTTTGCTAGCTTCGGCCGAACTCAGCAAAGCCATTTTTGAAAAACTATATTTTTTGAATATCTGATATAGTGAGAATGTAGTGCTCATTTTAGGCTAATTTATTACCCTATTCCCAATTTTCTTGCTCCTCTCTATCATAGAAAAATCTGTGGCTTTGCTAGCTTCGGCCGAACTCAGCAGAGCCATTTTTGAAAACATAGAATTTTCACCGATTTGATATATTGAGATCAAATGGCTAATTTTAGGCTAATTAATTACCCGATTTTCGATTTTTTTTGCTCCACGTCTCAAACAGGAAAAATACAAGACAATTTGTCGAAATACACATCATTCACTGTACATTATGTATTTCTATCAATAGCATATTTTATGACGATTTCATGAGGGAAAGTGTTAGTATCGATTGTAAGCTTGATGACTATCCCATTTTGGAATTTTTGGCTACATATTTTTTAAAAGAAACCAAGCAGAAAAAAATAAAACGATTCGTCGAAATACATGTTAATTCACTATACATTATGCATATCTATCAAAAGCATATTTTATGACGATTTTTCGAAACAAAGTGTTAGTATCGATTATAAGCTCAATAACTATTGCATTTTGAAATTTTTTGCTGCATATTTTTTAAAACAAACCTGTGGCTTTGCTGGCTTCGGGCGAACTCAGCAGAGCCATTTTTTAAAATAATATATTTTTCACTGATTTGATATATCCATATTGAAGAGCTAATTTTAGGCTAATTAATTACCCTATTTTTGAATTTTTTGCTCAACGTTTCAGACAGAAAAAATACAAGAAAATTCGTCGAAATACGCGTTAATTCACTATACATTATGCATATCTATAAAAAGCATATTTTATGACGATTTCATGAGGGAAAGTGTTAGTATCGATTGTAAGCTTGATGACTATCCCATTTTGGAATTTTTGGCTACATATTTTTTAAAAGAAACCAAGCAGAAAAAAAACGAAACGATTCGTCGAAATACACGTTAATTCACTATACATTATGCATATCTATCAAAAGCATATTTTATGACGATTTTTCAAAACAAAGTGTTAGTATCGATCATAAGCTCAATAACTATTGCATTTTGAAATTTTTTGCTGCATATTTTTTAAAACAAACCTGTGGCTTTGCTGGCTTCGGGCGGACTCAGCAGAGCCATTTTTAAAAATAATATATTTTTCACAGATTTGATATATCGATATTGAAGAGCTAATTTTAGGCTAATTAATTACCCTATTTTCGAATGTTTTGCTCCACGTTTCAAACAGAAAAAATACAAGACTATTTGTCGAAATACGCGTCATTCACTGTACATTATGTATTTCTATCAAAAGCATATTTTATGACGATTTCATGAGGGAAAGTGTTATTATCGATTGTAAGCTTGATGACTATCCCATTTTGGAATTTTTGGCTACATATTTTTCAAAAGAAACCTGTGGCTTTGCTGGCTTCGGGCGAACTCAGCAGAGCCATTTTTTAAAATAATATATTTTTCACTGATTTGATATATCCATATTGAAGAGCTAATTTTAGGCTATATAATTACCCTATTTTTGAATTTTTTGCTCAACGTTTCAGACAGAAAAAATACAAGAAAATTCGTCGAAATACGCGTTAATTCACTATACATTATGCACATCTATAAAAAGCATATTTTATGACGATTTCATGAGGGAAAGTGTTAGTATCGATTGTAAGCTCAATAACTATTGCATTTTGAAATTTTTTGCTGCATATTTTTTAAAACAAACCTGTGGCTTTGCTGGCTTCGGGCGAACTCAGCAGAGCCATTTTTAAAAATAATATATTTTTCACAGATTTGATATATCGATATTGAAGAGCTAATTTTAGGCTAATTAATTACCCTATTTTCGAATTTTTTGCTCCACGTTTCAAACAGAAAAAATACAAGACTATTTGTCGAAATACGCGTCATTCACTGTACATTATGTATTTCTATCGAAAGCATATTTTATGATGATTTCATGAGGGAAAGTGTTAGTATTGATTGTAAGCTTGATAACTATCCTATTTTGGAATTTTTCGCTACATATCTTTTAAAAGAAACCTGTGGCTCTGCTGAGTTCGTCCGAAGCCAGCAAAGCCACAGGTTTCTTTTAAAAAATATGCAGCAAAAAATCCCAAAATAGGATAGTTATCAAGCTTACAATCAATACTAACACTTTCCCTCATGAAATCATCATAAAATATGCTTTCGATAGAAATACATAATGTACAGTGAATGACGCGTATTTCGACAAATAGTCTTGTATTTTTTCTGTTTGAAAAGTGGAGCAAAAAATTCGAAAATAGGGTAATTAATTAGCCTAAAATTAGCTCTTCAATATCGATATATCAAATCTGTGGAAAATATATTATTTTTAAAAATGGCTCTGCTGAGTTCGCCCGAAGCCAGCAAAGCCACAGGTTTGTTTTAAAAAATATGTAGCCAAAAATTCCAAAATGGGATAGTCATCAAGCTTAGAATCGATACTAACACTTTGTCTTGAAAAATCGTCATAAAATATGCTTTTGATAGATATGCATAATGTATAGTGAATTAACATGTATTTCGAGGAATCGTTTCTTTTTTTTTCTGCTTGATTTCTTTTGAAAAATATGTAGCCAAAAATTCCAAAATGGGATAGTCATCAAGCTTACAATCGATACTAACACTTTCCCTCATGAAATCGTCATAAAATATGCTTTCGATAGAAATACATAATGTACAGTGAATGATGCGTATTTGGACAAATTGTCTTGTATTTTTCCCGATTTTTTCTGTTTGAAACGTGGATCAAAAAATTCGAAAATAGGGTAATTAATTAGCCTTAAATTAGCCATTCGATCTCAATATATCAGATCGGTGAAAATTCTATGTTTTCAAAAATGGCTCTGCTGAGTTCGGCCGAAGCTAGCAAAGCCACAGATTTTTCTATGATAGAGAGGAGCAAGAAAATTGGGAATAGGGTAATAAATTAGCCTAAAATGAGCACTACATTCTCACTATATCAGATATTCAAAAAATATAGTTTTTCAAAAATGGCTTTGCTGAGTTCGGCCGAAGCTAGCAAAGCCACCGATTTTTCTATGATAGGGAGGAGCAAAAAATTCGGGTATGGGGTAATAAATTAGCCTAAAATGAGCCTAAAATTATGAGATGTGTCTCATGTTGAAAATCGAAAGTGGCTTTGCTAGCTTCTTTAGTATCACATTTGAGGGCCTTGGTCCGGTGGAAAGGGAGGCCAGGAAAAGGCTTGAAACTCGATTACTACTGATTATACTCCAAGGAATGATCTATGTTTGAGTCTAAGGTCCAACATTTTATCAACAGTAAAAGCAAGAGTTTTTTTATCACTCATAATATCACGAGAGCTTCAATTATTTCCGGAATTTTTTTCGAGAACACGAATATTTTGAAAATTCTCCCAAATCGAAGACGAGGGAGAATTTTCTAAATATACGTGTTCGAGAAAAAATTCCCGGATATTAATTGAAGCTTAAGTGGTATTCGGTAAGAATATTTCACACTGAAATATTATTAAAAGATTACTTCGATAAGTTGGATAAGGAATTTCAACAACACTAA